TGTCCGGCTCTCTTCTTGGGTGTACGGGCTCTCCTGGTCACAGCCAGGAGCTTCGAACAACTTCCACAGCATAGGAAAAGAGCCTGCTCAGAGGAGGCAAGTGACCTGCCCGAGGTTGCACAGCTGGTGACAGCTGGTGAGAGAGGAGCTGAGCCCCAAAGCCTTGTCGAGTCTCTGGAGGCCCTGAACCTTGTGTTTCTCCCTCCCCTTTGCACGCAGTCAAGGGCCCTGTGGATTGCATAGGGTGGTGTGTGTGTGTGTGTGTGTGTGTGTGTGTGTGTGTGTGTGTGTGTGTGTGTGTGTGTGTTGGAGGCAATTTAAGACAATCAAGGAACTGCTTGCTCAGTTTCCTCCCTCGAGGGGGTGGCAGAGGTGGCCGGCTTTCCATCTCCGGACACCAGTCAGTGCTCAGTTTCTCAGTGTGGCCTCCAGGGAGGGCCAGAGAAGGAGGGCAGGAAGAGACAGGGGACTCATCAGCCGCTGGCAATTACACAGTGCTTTGTCGTTCTTAATTAGCTCAGTTGCTCTGCAGCCTTGGATCTCCCAGGGCTGCCCACGCTGGGAGGTGACAGCTGCAGGGTTCACTGGGGACAGCAGTGGGGTGGGCGGGGTGGGGCTCCTCAGGAGTACATCAGCTCTGCCATTCCTCCAGCTTCAGAGCCTCCCCCCCCCCCAAGACACATCAGAGAAGAGAAAAATAGAAAGGGTGTCTTTGGCTAGATTTGTGGGCACCTCCAGGCATTCCCCAGTGGCTCCAGGGGACCCTGGGAGCATGAGGACTTCCAGTCCCCTGCTGGAGACCTGCTCGCCTGTTGTGAACTGCCCACAGACAGGCTCACTGCAAATTTAAGATGACCAGCATGGCTGTTGGTTGGGCACCTGCTTCAAGCCTCAGAAGCCTCACAAAGTCCTCAAAGGTGGCTATGAGCCCACTATGCTGACAGGAAAACTGAGGCACTGTTAGTTTGAGGTGACACATGCAAAAATGGAGGATTTGATTGAAGAGCCCAGGCATGTAGAACTCCGAGGTCCAACAGATGCTGTCCATATGTGTATATGTGTACAAGCATATGCAAATGTGTATGTGTGCACATGTTGCATGTCTTAGGGCAAGAACAGCAGTATGGCCTGGCACACTCCTTTAATCCTAGCACTCAGGAGTCAGAGGCAGGTGAATCTGTGAGTTTGAGACCAACCTGAGCTATACAGAGCAACTCTGTCTTGAAAAACAAAAACAAACAATAAGAACAGTGGTATACGTAGCTATGGTTGAGGTATTAGAGAGGAGGCCATTTAGAAGCTATAGCATAGATGAGGAAGCCAGGAGTAGCTGGAAGTTTCTAGAAACGGAAGCACTGTGAGCAGGGAGGGTGGGCCAGGAGAGCAGGTTAGCAGGTGGGTTAAAGGTCAGAGCTGTATAAAGATGGGCCCCTCATGGAGCCTGGCTTTCCAGTCACTCAGATCCCCTCGTGGTGACTGGTCTCCACCCCATCAGGAGGACTCTGGTAGCTGAAGTGAAGCCAGCTTGCTCAGAGCTCAGACCAGGTCAGGCTGGTTCCAGTCTCTAGAGCACTCCCTCCCCCGGAACCCACGTGAGAGACACAGTCATTAGAGCCACAGCCACAGAGTGGCTTTTACTTGTTTATTTGAGACAGGCTCTCACTTTGTAGACCACGCTGACCTTGAACTCACAGAGACCCAACTGCCTCTGCTTTCCAAGTGCTGGGTGGGATTAAAGGGGTGTGCCACCAACGCCTGGCCCAGTTTGACACTTTTGAGTAAACCGAGGCCCACAGTATTTAAACATTTTGCCAAAGACCAAGCTCATGCCGCCCTCCTCAGGCTGACCTGCTCTGTCCAGGCCAGCAGCGAACAACAGGTGGAGGGCTGACTCGGAGAAGCAAGAAGAGTAAAGTTTTTTATTACATTTTACTTACTTATTTTCCTGGGAGGCAGTGTGCACAGCGTGGTGTGAGTATGGAGCTCAGAGGAAAACGTTGAAAGGTGGACTCTTTCCTCTTACTGTGTGGTTTCTGGGGATTGGAGAGGGCCGCTGCCTCCTCACCTAGGCCTCACAGAGATGCTAATGTCCCATCCACTGGACACCTGCTCTCTCACCGGATCCTTGTGAGAAGTCCTGAGAGGAACAGAAGCTGTTTGATGGAAGCCAGAAGCTGGCTGCTCCCCGTGAGAGCATCCCTTTACCTCCACTGATTTTTATTTTGCTGTTACTAAGGGACTTAGGTCATTGTAGAAGTGTTTGTTAAATTAGATCAGATAAGAGAAAAATAAAAAAACAGAATGCTGGGCACGATGTCACATGCTTTTTTTTAAACCCAGCACTTGGGAGGCAGAGGCAGGTGGATCTCTATGAGTTCAAGGTAAGCCTGGTCTACATTGTGAATTCCAGGACAGCAGAACTACACAGAGAAACCCTGTCTCAAAAAAATATAAATTAAAACAGAACAAGAACCCCAAAGGCAGAAGTCTGGAGATGTAGCTGATAAGATGTTTGTCCTAGCAGGCATGAGGCTCCAGGTTCACCCCACAACATCACATGCAACTGGCGAGTGGGGGTGGGAGGGTTGGGGGAGTGGGGCTGGGGGGGAGCTTGAGATGATGTCCCTATGAATCCATTTGCAGAGGCAGGAGGATTAAGGGTTTCATTAGGCTAGGTAGTGAATTGGAAGACAGTAGGGAGCTACATGAGACCCTATCTAAGCAATAGCAATAAGACCTCCAAACAGAAAACAAACAAACAAAAACACCTTAAGGCCTGTCTTGAGCACAGAGTGTACTTTCCTTGGCCCTGTCCTGGGAGTTTTAAACATCCCAGTATCTCAGATGGGAGGCCTAGAGCACTGGCGGCTGCTCCTAGCCTGCTGTGTGACCTTGGGCAAGTTTCTGCTCTTCTCTGGGTCTTAGCCTCCTCACCTGTGAAATGAGGTTTTGGGCAGTGACTGCAGTAGAGGCCCCTTGTAGCTCTGACCTTCTGTCTCTACTTCTCTTTCTGGGAGCAGCAGAAGGGCCCCCAGCAGCCTGCCCCTCTGCAGGAGATGCATGGCTGACAGCTCCCAGCAAGTCACCTCCGGAAGGACATGAAGCTGCTAAACAGTCTCTGCTGCCCACACAGGGTTCCCAGGCTGGCCTGCTTACCTGGTCCATATGTCTCCTGCCAGCCAGACACCACCGCTGCTCTTGGACTCATGGCCCTGGTCGATGTTTTCCCTCCAGGCTCCCCAGATCTCTCTGCTGTTCTAGGATCTAGCTGACCCTGGACAGGAAAGCTAGGGGCTCAGCTCTGTCTGGCACAGCCTTCAGAGGGGACAGATAACCTGCTGAGGTAGAAAGCTGGAGTAGAGAGAGAAGGGAGGAGGAGCGGGCAGCCCTTCCTGCTGACAGACCTCCAACTCCTCTCATACCTTCCTTAGGTACCCGGGGTCAGAAATGAATCAAAACAACCTCTGTGCCCTTGAGAACATGGCTTCTAATTCAGAGGGAATAAAAGGGGACAGCATTACAATGTTCCAAGTTCAACACGGTGGGAGCCCACGGAGAGAAATCTAACCCCGGGGCTGTGGTTCAGGAGGGCTTCCTGAAGGAAGCAGATGGATTCTTGAAGACAGGATTTAGCTTCTCTAATTCCAGTCCCATAGGACAGCCCTGTGGAAAAGGTCTCATTGCCTCCTTCACAGATGAAGCCCAAAGCAGCCAGACAATGATCATGACCACTGGGCTCTTACTGAGGCTTCTGTTTCTAACTCTTGGGGAACATCAGGTGTGCCTCCTGCTGGAATAGGCTGTGACAGGCTGCACTGTTCACTCAAGCTGAGCTGTTGGAACAGACAGGAGGTCTTAGAGTGGAATGTGAGTCAGGCACACAGGAGACAGAGCCTGCCTGTCTCTCAGCCAGGATAGGCCTGCTGGCTTCTGAAATTAGCCAGAGGTCACAGTGGCACTGCCGAGGCACCTTCTGAGAGTCAGGTAGTGGGCACCTGCTTTCGATATCCTCTGCCTGGGACTCCTTTGGACACAGTCCTTAGAATTCTTTGTATTCTGGATTTTTTGAGACAAGGTTTCTACTCTGTATCCCAAGATGCTTTGGAACTTGCGGGAGTCCTCCTGCCTCAGCTCCTGCTCCCTAAGTGCTGGGATTACAGGTATGAGCCATCACATATGGCCCTAGAGTTGTTCTGCCTTCCTGGAATTGGAGCAGGTGTGCTGCCTTGGAAGAAGACAAGGGCTGGAACAAAGTTATGATGTCTGCCGAGGCAGGTGAGTAGGGTTTCTAGAGATAGGATCACACTTCATTTGACAGGTAACATGACTCAGAGAAGGGAAGGACAGCCTGGGGTCACACAGCAAGCCTGAGTCAGGTTAAGACTGCCATATCCCTGAGACTGTGGGGTCAGGGACAGCTAAGAAAGCCACTGTGGGCGCCTAAGGTATACACTTCCATCCCTCCCCTATTGCTCTGGTGAGCCCCTCTGTCATATTTATTTAAATTGATTCTTTACATTTATTTTATGTATGAATACAATGGGGGAAGGCACATGGGAGCCACTGTTAGCTCCTGGAGGTCAAAGGACAACTTTCAGGGGTTGGTTCTGTTCTTCCACCGTGTGGTCTTTGGGATCATTATCAAGCTTGGTGCAAGCGTCCTTATCAACTGACCCATCTCGTTTCCATCTACCACTTTTCTCTTATTTCTGAACAAGACCCTTGACGGCTCTAACCCTCAGTCTCCCCATTTGTGTAATGGTCTCCAGGTGCCTTTCAGCCGAGCTGTCTAGAAGGCCGTGGAATCCTGTAGGTTGGAACCTGGGAAGGGAGCGGGAGCTAGGAGCTTTGGTGGGCACAGCGCACTGGAACGCATTGCTTGCAGTCATAGAGTCTGTCCTGGGCGGGGAGGGGCGGGGCCATGCTCTGGGGGCGTGTCCACGGGCGTGGCCTGTTGGCTCCGCCCCCGCACGTCGCGGGGAGGGCGGGGGAGGAGCGCGGCGGGCGCGCGCCGCCTGGCCCGGCGGAAAGTTTTCCTGGAGGAGTTTTGGCGGCGGTGGTGGAGACCGGAGCGGGCCATGGACGCGCTCAAGTCGGCGGGCCGCGCGCTGATTCGTAGCCCCAGTCTGGCCAAGCAGAGCTGGGCGGGCGGCCGGCACCGCAGTGAGTGTGTGCGCCCCGGGTCGGGCCTCCGCAGAGCTCGGGGCCAAGGTGGACCGGGCGGCCTCGTCCCGACCCGTGCGGCCGGGCCCCGGGGGTCATGTCCGGCTGCGTCTGGGGCGGGTCGGCGGGGTGCGGGCGGCACTCCGGGTCTCCAGGTGCAGCGCGGTGAGGACGCCTAGAGCCTCTCCAGCCGCTCCTGCCCAACCCACGGGGTCCACTCTAGACCCTGGATCCCGCAGGTTCATGCTCCGAGGGGCGAGCTCAGCCCGGGTGCCACCCGAGGTCCTCTCGTCCAGGCTATTTTCAAACCCTGTTTTTCCTCGTACCTTCCCTTGGGGACTGTCTAAGTCCCTGGGCACCTAGGCAAAAAGCAGACTCAGACTAGCTGCCACTTCTCCTGGGTGTCTGGAAGGGCGGAGAGGAGCCTCCCCAAGCCACCTCTCGGGTTTCTCTCTGGGAGCCGTCACCTGGCACCCTCCCCTGAGGCCTGAGAAAGCTAGCTCAGGTCCCTCCCTTTTCGGGAGTCGTTCTTACGGTATCACCTGTACCTTCCCTTCCTGATGTGAAGCCAAAGCGCCTGGACTCTGGCACACCCTCACCTGCCACTCACCTGGGGCCCACTGGCAGTACCCGCCACCCCACCCCCAGCTTCTTGCTAGCACCTTGCCTTGCCGGGCTCCACCAGGGGAGCCCGAGTTCCCTGGTCCCTGGAGCGCCAGCGTGTCTGGGCCTAGGGAGCCCGCCCTGCCCCTCCTCTCTCCCACTGTGGTGTTCCAGCTGTGGGTTCCTTCTAGCCCTGACTGGCATTGGGAACGTGCGCTGGTGCTTGCTGGTGGGGGTGGGGTCAGAGGCCCCTTGGGCAGGGCATGTACCATCTTCCACACTTCCACACACTCCCAAAATAGCCCTTCAAAAATTCGTGAGATGTGACCAGGACTTTTGAGCACGATCCTTCCCTTCCAGTGGATGAACCCTGTGGTTTTCTCCTGGGACAAGGGGGAGAAGGCTGGGTGGGGAGGAGGTCTGAGGGGAGGGAGCCAGGAAGCAGAGATGAATCTGGAGGAGCAGGGTGCATTTTGGATGGTGAGGCTTCCCTGCCACTTTAAGGCAGGTCACTCGTTCTTGATGGTTTTGTTTCCCAGTCTGCAAAATGGGGATACAATTCCTGTGGGGCTGGGGATGTGTGGTGTGTTCGGTAGGGTGCTTGCCTGGCTTGCAGGAAGTTCTCAGGTCCTAAATTCCTGTTTCCATCATCACATTTAGCAAATGGTTTTGTAGCAGCACATGTCTGTAATCCCAGCACTGAGGACATGGAAGCCTGGGGGGTCAGAAGCTCAAGGTCACACTGTGCCAAAAATGAGTTTGAGGCAAGCCTGGGCTAGGTGTTAGTTAAGATGTTGCTACTGTAGTTTCCAGGTTGATGGTAAGGTCTTTTTTGTAGTTCAGGCTGGTCTGGAACTTGCTGTGTAGACCAGGCAGGCTTTGAACCTCTGCCTTCTGAGTGCTGGGATTAAAGGTGTGCACCACCATGTCCTCTCTGCGAAACCTAATTCTTAACCAGGTTTGGCCAGCTCTGAGATGGGGGCCTCAGCCTGTCTGCACCCTGGAGGGAAGCAGAAGTCTTCTCCCCTCTCCCTGCTCCTCTCAAAGCTCTGTATTCAGAATGAGCTTCTCAGAAGCCTGGCCTGTCTTTGCCTAAGTGTCAAGTTCATGATCTTATTTTACCAAGAAGAGCCTTACTTCCCTGGGACTCTGTGGGACTGCCTGTCTGTCTGTCTGTGCTTTACTTGCCTAGGAGTGGCTTTGATGAATACATGCTCCTGTTTTGTCTCCGGTGTTTGACTTCTGTTAGCTCATTAGTACCTGGGAGGTGACAAAGCTTGGGATTCTTATCTTCAGACCCATTTTAGAGATAATGGCCTGGGAAGTAAAGTCCATGGTTCCAAGCACTGAGCACGTCCTGAGGCAGAGCTTCCCCAACCCGGGGATTTTAGCCACATACCTTGGTTTTTCTGGCTGTTGGGGGAGGGCACCCCCCACTCCAGGTTTGGCTGGCTGTCCCTAGGACCAATATGGACACAGGTTAGAGAGGAAGGCCTTGGGCGTGCTCAGAATGAGAGGTTAGGACCTAGCCAGTCCTTGGGTCTAGCGTTCATGGTCAAAGGCCAGAGCCTGTTAGATGGGTAAAGGAACTTGCTCTCAAGCCTGAGGACCCAAGTTCAATCCCTGGGTCCCAGGTGGTGGAAGGAGAAAACCGATCCCCAAAGGTTGCCCAGTGACCTCCACAGTGCTTACTTCTCGCCTCTTACAAAGTGAGGAAAAAAACAGCTCAGGCCTGACTGGAAAGAGGATTCCCTCCTCACGGCCACTTTCTCCATCTCTCTGGGAACCTTAAAATCTTATCTCAGTGCCTGACCCAGAATCACAGTTTTTTCCCTATTCAGCTGTATCTTGGGGTCACTGTGACCCTCAGATTCCTGTATGGGTTGTACTAGACTGTCAGAGAACCCAAGGAAAAAGGATAAAGAAACATAAGGTGCCCATTCCAGTAAAGGTAATTCATGACTCTGTATGGGGTCTATATTTACCTATAGGATTGTAACTACTGCTGGGAATAGTCCTTTAATCCCAGCACTGGGGAGGCAGAGGTAGGTGGATCTCTGAGTTCCAGAGCAGCCTGATCTACAAACCAGTTGCAGGACAGCCCGAGCCACATAATGCAGGGAATTCTGTAACAAAAAACAAAACCCAAAACAAAAAGCCAAATAAAACAAAACAAAACAGAAAACTGGACTGTCGATACCTTTGACAACAACAGGGCACAGTGACTCTGAGCGTGTCTCCTGATGGTGTAGTGAGGCTCTCCTCATTTCTGGTGAGGGAGAAGGCCACAGATAGTTGGTGGGGTTAGCAAGAATGCTAGGAAAAAGATAAGCGGCAGAGGGCAGCTTTTTCAGATAGGTGGTGACTGTGTTATTCTAGGAGAAGCTGTTCAGACATGGGTCCAAGTGAGGATTGTTTGGGAGCATTTCCCAAGAAGTGCGGTGAGGGCAGCTGAGAGGGGAAGGAAGCCCCTAGTGGACAGGGGAGCAGCCCCTGGGCCTCCCTACAGAGGTCCCTCAAGGCAGAGTTAGCAGTGCACCTTCTTGCTTCTGAAGGGCAATGGTTGGAGCAAGACCCACGATTTTGTGACCTGAGGATGTTACTGGTTGGGGGGCACCACAGGGCACTGGGTACCTCTAGTAGCCAGGCTGCAGGCAGAATGGCAGGCGCAGGCGTCTCCTGTCAGAAAGTGATCGGCCTAGAGGGGATCGGGTAGTAGGTTGTGGCAGCTTCTGAGAAGCTGACCTGGAAGACACAGGTGAGTCAGGGAGGGAAAACCCTGGGAAGAGCCTTTGGCTGGGGGAGCGCAGGTCGGAGGACACGGGACCAGAGAGAGGCTCCTCGCAGTCTGGTTACTGAGGGAGGGACAGGATGTTTGACGATCAGGTCACCCACTGTTGACAGAGGCCGGACACTCTCTTTGGGTGCCGTGGCATGTGTCACCCCTGTGGGGCTTGAGTATCAGAGCTGTCAGTTGGATCAATCCTTTGTTGTATTTCTTGCCTGTAGTGCTGTGACACAATGACTTCATAAAACTTAGTAAGCTGCCACATGTACATTAAAGCCCTTTGTGCAGCAGTGATGGCGACACTGACAGTGGCTGGTACTTATGGGGCTCTTGGTGTTGTTTCGGGCAGGGTCATGTGTGAGCTCCTCTGTCCTCATGACAACCCCATGGAGTGGGTATTGTTACCCATTTCCAAGCAACGACACTGAGATACAGGGAGGCTGAGGGACTGAGTAGCCCTTTCTTTTTTTCTTTTTGGTTTTTTGAGGCAGGGTTTCTCTGGCTTTGGAGGCTGTCCTGGAACTAGCTCTTTTAGACCAGGCTGGTCTCGAACTCACAGAGATCCGCCTGCCTCTGCCTCTGCCTCTGCCCCCACTGCCCGGCTTGAGTAGCCCTTTCTTGCCCTTACCTTTCCCTTCCAGTATGTGCCGGCATGAGGAAGCCCTGGCTCAGGTAGCAATCGCTTATTCACTTTTGAGAATGATATCAGTGGTTTTAGTTTTTGAAATTGGCTTAGTCTTTGTGTTGTTTTTGTTTTATTTTGAGACAGGGTTTCTCTGTGTAACCCTGTAACCCTGGCTGTCCTGGAACTCACTCTGTAGGCCAGGCTGACCTCAACTAAAGAGATCCACCTGCCTCTGCCTCCTGAGTGGTGGAATTAAAGGTGTGCATTTGCCACAATGCCTGATTTTTAGTCTGTTCACATCCTGAAACTTTCACCATGGAAGTCCTGAAAGAGACAATGAATTTGTTTTGTCATGTTCCTGGCAGGGCAGAGTTTAGGTTCTCTCCTAGGATGTCCCTGCCGCTTCCAAGACACCCTCATCAGGCTTGGGAACCAGGCTGGGTCCCTGGGCAGAGACTTGTTATCACTGTACCTGTGGGTTGGCTACAGTATTCAGACACCACCCAGCCAGGTCCCAGCAACAGGGGCCAGGGCAGGAAGCCTTTGGAGACCTTAGCAAGAAAGGAGCACGATGCCAGCTGAAGCTCCCAAGGCAGGTCATCTGTAAAATTACAAAATGAAAATAGCGTAGTCATTACCCACCACAGGGCTGAAAATAACTCGGACTGGAATAAGGCTTAGGGCGCAGGCCTGTATTTGCCCAAGGGCCTCTGGGAGCTGTCTGCTTGGGAAGGGGTGCAGCCTGGCTCTTCGATGTTTGTGGTGTCCTGTGGTAGGAGACCACACTGGTCTTTGTGTTTGTCTCAGTGCTCTTTCTTGGGGAATTTGTGGGCACCAGAGGCCCCGAAGAACCTCAGTGAAGAGCAAGTCACGTGTCCAGAAAAGAAAGGCTGGCCTACAAGGATAGGCAGGGGCAGGCAGAGACAAGGGGAGTACTCAGGGCAGGGGTCCTTCCAGCACAGCAGCCTGGGGAGCAGGCTTGAGGACAGGTCCTTTGGAGAAAGGCAGCTGCTGGGCATGGGTGTTGCTGCAGGGGGAGGCGTCTATAGAGTTCTGCTCAAGGCAGCAACAGCCATAGCCAGGATTGAGCAAGCCTACAGATAGATGCCTTCCGTGGGACCTGGCCCTCGGCCTCTCCTGCCTTGTCACACTGTATTTCATTATCTTACCCACTGTCTGAACAGCCCTGTGAGCCTGGTGTGTTTTCTTTCTCCATTTTATCCTATTTTTGAGACAGCCTCACTATGTAGCTCTGGCTGGCCTGGAACTCACTGTAGACCAGGCTGTCGTGGAATCCACAGAGATCCACCTATTGGGATTTGGGGCATGTGTTACCATATGCTCCCTTTATTTTGTAAGTATTTTTATTTTTTAATAATCTGCATATGTATGTATGTATGTATGTATCCGAGTGCAGGCTCCCACAGAGCCCAGACAAATGGAATCCCCCTCCAGCTGGAGTTAGAAGCATTGTGAGCTCTCTAACCAAACGTGGCTCAGCAGTATTCTTAACTGTTGAGTCACCTCAGCCCCCATTTCGGTTTTTTTTTCTTTCTTTCTTCTGAGACAGTCTCGTGTGTACCAGGCTGGCCTCTAACTGGCTGTGCAGCCAAGGATAATCTTGAACTTTTAATCCTCCTGCCTCTGCTTCCCAAGTGCTAGGATTACAGGCATGCTCCATCATACCTGGTTTATGCAGTACTGGGGGTGGAAAACAGAACTTCACACATGCTAAGCAAGCACTCCACTAAGTAAACAACACCCCTGGAAGAGGGTGGATGTGTAGATCACTGTAGCTCTGGCTATGTAGACCAGGCTGGCCCCAAACTCACAGAGATCTGCCTGCCTCTGCTTCCTAAGTGCTAGGATTAAAGGGTTTTTCTTATATGTGATCTCAAGATGTGGTCTAGACTAGCTTCTAATTTAGAATTCCCCTTCCTGGGATTGCAGGTGGGCACTGCCATACCTTGCTTGGAAAGGGCATTTTGGATATTGAAAAATAGATGTTGCACTGTGTGGTGGGGTATGTGTGTGTTCAGAGAGGAGGGGGTTTTCAGATGCCCCAGCTATCACTGGGTACCGCCATTCTCTGACTTGCTGTGTGATCTTGCACAGGCCCTGTGCCTCTCTGGGCTTTAGCTGAATCACCTGTCAAGTAAAGTGTTGGGTAGAGGGTCTCTGTGGCTGGACCTGGTAGCCAGTGTGGAAGTTGGCAGTACTGTAGAGAAGGGTCAGGTCAGGGAAGGAGGAATGTAGAAAAATGTCAAGCATTTGAGGCCAAGGAGGAGAGAATGTTTTGACAGCAAAGAGATCACCAGTGACCTTGGCAAGCTTTGGCCCTTTGGAATGAAGTGAGCGGAAGTGGCTTTGGACAGGGGCCAGGAAAGGGCTGAGCCAGAGGAAATGGGAGAGTGGGACCCAGAGATAGGGGAAGGATGTCTGCCTTAAGGCAGGGGTGGATAATGTGAAGAGGTCACTCGTGATTGATTAGTATTGCCTGCCTGAGGCCATAGTTGAGAAACGGGGAAGCAATGTCTGCCAAGGACACCAGCATTGGGCATGGATGTGTCTCGGGTTGGAGCGGTGGGCTGGGTGTCTTGAGCTGTGAGGAAGCAGCATTGGTTATTAGGAAATACCTTAGAGCCTTTTCCCGACCTTTGACTAAACTGGGGCAGTTTGCCTTATGGCCAGTTGTGTGATCCAGCGATCAGGAGCATGGGCAAGTTAGTGTCTTTTGCACTCCATCCAGTTCCTTGGCTGCAGACTAGGCATGAGAGACCTTCAAGGCTGCTGTGCCTACATTGTTGTTTGATGTGGCGGCTCTGCATATCCTGGAGATAGTGCTGTGAGTTTTGGTTTCTTCCAGAGCAGGGCGTTATTCTGGTGTCCTTACACAGAACTAGGGATACCATGGGGACTCTCTGCTTCCTTTTGGAGGATCTAATGGATGGGATGTCGTGTTGGGCTTTAGGATCATCTCAGTTGGGGCTCAGGAGACCGAGAGGGCATCATGTCAAACATAGCTGGGGTTGACATTCCTATACTCAGAAAACATTGAGTGCCAGCTGTGTGTCAGGCTTTGGGTGACCAGTCAGCAAAGTCCTCTTACCTGGGTCTAAGAGGAGGGGTAATACTTGTAGGGCCCCTCCCATGCCCACCCACAAACACATAGTGTCAGTGAGGGGCAGCATCTTACTTAACACAGATCCTGAACCATGAGCCATGTGAATGAAATGACAGAATCCGTGGAACTCAAGACTCTGGGGCACGGCCAAAGAAAGCAACAAGGAATCCAGAGGGGACAGGGACATGGTAGTGTCTCCTCGAGCCCAGGATTCCTCCCACTCCTGACAGTGCAGGAGTATACTAAGCTTGTATCATGGCCTTTCCATCCTGGCAGGTTGGGAAGGCACAGGACTTGTGGAATGGACACAGTCACCTGAGTACCTCCTATGGGTGTGGCACCTTTGGGTTGACAGGCAGGACCCTAACAGGGCTTTGCTCTCTCAAGTAAGCTTGGCCCCATTTCCCACTATGTGATGGGTGCTTAGCTTCAGCTCCAAGGAGGAACTGGGAGATGGCCAAACTTCCCTTGGGGTCTCCTTTGCCTTATCACTCTTTCCTGCATGGAGACCAGGTGGGGCCCTTCCCAACTCTCCCCTGCCCTGTCTTTTTTTTTTTTTTAAGATTTATTTATTATGTATACAGTGTTCTGCTTGCATATCAGAAGAGGACACAGATCTCATTATAGATGGTTGTGAGCTACCATGTGGTTGCTGGGAATTGAACTCAGGTCCTCTGGAAGAGCAGTCAGTGCTCTTAACCTCTGAGCCATCTCTCCAACACCCCCCACACCCCCTCTGTCTTTAACCCATGCTCGCCCCTCCTCCTTGCTGACATTAGTGATGGCCAGGACATCTTGAAGGACCCTTTCCATGGGCCATGGCTGCAGCACAGTGGAGCTAGTGATATTTTACTCTAACCCTAGTCCCTCTCCTTGGGTCACTGTGTCTTTGCTGGTCCTCAGTTGCCAATCTTTAAAGCAGGCGTGGGCTGGGATGTAGCATCTGGTGGGTAACTACCTGTATTTACCATGGTGGCTTTGTTGTCCCCTGCCTTCAACTCTCTAGCCTCATTTTCCTTATCTATAATATGTGTGTCTTAATTAGGGTTTCTATTGCTGTGAAGAGGCACCATGACCACGGCAGCTCTTTTTGCTTTTTTGAGTTTCTCTGTGTTGTGTAGCTTCAGCTGTCCTGTAACTCATTCTGTAGGCCAGGCTAGCCTTGAACTCAGAGAGATCCACCTGCCTCTGCCTCCCAAGTGCTGGGATTACAGGCATGCACCACCACCGCCCAGCCTACCACAGCAACTCTTACAAAGAAAACATTTAATTGTGGCTCACTTACAGTTTGGAGGTTCAGTCCATTATCATCAAGGTGGGACATTCAGGCAGATGTGGTACTGCAGAAGCAGCTGCTACATGTTGATATGCAGGCAACAGGAAGTAGACTAAGTGTCACACTGGTAAAGCTCGAGCATATGTGAGTCCTCAAAGCCCACCCCACAGTGACAGATTTCCTCCAACAAGGTCACACCTGCTTCAATAAAACCTCACCTCCAGCCAGGTGGTGGTGGTGCACGCCTTTAATCCCAGCACTCGGGAGGCAGAGGCAGGCGGATCTCTGTGAGTTTGAGGCCAGGCTGGACCGACAGCCTCCAAAACAATACAGAGAAACCCTGTCTCGAAAAACCAAAAACCAAACAAACAAAAAAAACAAAAAACCTCACCTCCTAATAGTGCCACTCCTTTAGGGGGTCATTTTCTTTCAAACCACCATAATGTGATAACCCCATCTCAAAGAATCAGACTGAGGACTCAGTGAGGGACCATTTACTGTCAGCATTGACACTGAGTTTGTGCACATGAGATGGCATAGCCAAGTCTTGACTCTAGACTGACTGACTCTGACTTGGTTTGACTTCCTGAGCTTTGAGGTGGCGGTCTGCAGCGTGTGACAGGTTGTGGTGCTCCCAAGGGTAAATGGGGACAATGTATGTGAAGCTGGTCAGGATTTGGGTAGGCTGGGAGGTAGTAGTGAGGATGGGGGTAACGCCAGGGCCCTTTGTAGGTGTGCTGAGGGGGTGGGTAGCGAGAGCCAGGCCTGCTCAGCACTCTGAGGGCTGCCTGTTCTGTGCTAGAGTTGCCAGAGAACTGGACGGACACGCGGGAGACACTGCTGGAGGGCATGATTTTCAGCCTCAAGTACCTCGGCATGACGCTCGTGGAACGGCCCAAGGGCGAGGAGCTGTCGGCAGCTGCTGTCAAGAGGATCGTGGCCACAGTGAGTGTCCAGACAGGACGACAGGAGCCCAGGACAGCTCCCCCTGCCCCAGCTGCCCTTGTCCCCAGGTGGGATCTGTGTGACATGTGCTTGAGTCTCCTGTGTCCAGCTCAGGGGTATTTCTGGAAATTGCCTATGTATTTGCCCGCAAGGGTCAGTTAGCATCCTCTTCAGACCACCCTGCCTTGACGCTTCCAGCCTTCAGTCCCCATCTCAGGCTCCTGGTGACTCACTAGCTCCAAGGAGGGAAGGAAGTTATTCCCCATTTACCATGTTCTCACTGCTTGACTGTGTGGTCCACCAAAGTGTCCTCCCCCTACCTCTGAGTGGGTGTGGGCCCTTTAAGTCCACTCCTAGGGTGGCCTTGACCTGTAGCTCAGGCTCTGGCATGTGGGTGGAGCTGGGTCCCTAGGTCATGGTGCTATGGCAATCTCTCAGCTACATGTCCCTGGGCTAGTCTCTTCCCCTCGGAGTCCCCGTCTTCCTGGACAGGAGGCAGGGCATGTTGAGCCCCCCCTGTGAGGGCCAGTTCTCACCAGGCATCGGGCTAGTGGGCAGCAGTTGTCCATTTGTGTCTCAGGAGAGTTGTCCTCATTTGCTTTTTGTTGCTGTGCTAAAACACTGACCAAAAATGAGTTGGGTAGGAAAGGGTTTGTTTGTCTTAAACTGAGGGAAGTCAGGACAGAGACTGAAGCAGAGACTTTGGAATGAAGCTTACTGGCTTGCTCAGTCTGCTCTTACATCCAGGACCACCTACACAGGAGTAACGCCCCCCCCCAGGGGACTGGGCCCTCCCATATCAATTGCCCACCAAGGAAATACCCCCACAAAGTTGCCTATAGGCCAGTCTGATAGCAGTGTTTTCTTAATTAAGGGTCCCTCTTCCCAGATGACAAGGGTGCTGGTTGAGTGTCTACCCTCTGGTACCTGCCAGTTATCTGAGCTGAGGGGCCTTGGAGCAGTGAGGTACAGGCCACTAGACAGGCTCCTCTGACCCCTGTGTGCCCCTAGGCCAAGGCCAGCGGGAAGAAGCTGCAGAAGGTAACTCTCAAGGTGTCGCCCAGGGGAATCATCCTGACTGACAGCCTCACTAGCCAGCTCATTGAGAACGTGTCCATTTACAGGTACGCCCAGCAGGGAGTGGCCGTGTCTGCTCCTGAGTGTCTCCGTGTCTGCTCCTGAGTGTCTTGTCTGAATCTCGGCTCTACAGCTGTCTGTCTGGGGTCCGGGGTATCTCAGTTTCCCTGGCTGTAAATGGGCTGGGGGCGTGTCCTGCCTCTTGGTGCTGTTAATGTAGTGCTAGCAAGTAACCCACAGTTCACAGGGATCTGTGCTGTGCTGTGGTGGCGGCTACTGCTGTCCCCTAAACAGCTAAAGCCGCCTCAGAGGGCCTGTGCCTCGGCTGCTGCTAAGTCAGGCTGGGAACACAGAGCTATGAAACCTGCCTATTCTCTCTGCCTTGAACACAGTTCTCAGATGTTCCCTCTCTGCTCCTAGGGGGTGGGGTCTAGCCCTGGGGACTCAGGCTATCCCACTTCACCGCAGCTGGCCAGGTGTAGGAGTAGAAAACTGGGTAGAAGCAGCCCAAACCAATGTTATCCATGGAGAAGCCTGAGGCTCAGAGAGGGAGTGGCCCACGACTGTGCCATGAGGTAGAGGCTGAGCTGCGATTTGGACACCAGTGGGAGAGCTGTCTGCCCAGGTCCCAGGCCTGGGTGTGGCAGGCACAGGTGTGCTGAGTGCTTCCAGAGGTCCAGTGGCCTTCAAGCCACTGTCCAGATTCCATCTGCCTTCCGGGGGCCTGCCAGCCCTGCCCTCTGGGCACTTCCGGTCTGTAAAGGAGTGGAGGGAAGGATGTAGGAGACAGTGTTCCCAAGAAGGCAGGAAGTGGACCAGGGGAAACCTGGGAAGACCTCCCAGTGGAGGTGGCTCCTTGCAGGACCTGGCTAATGGCCATCCTAAGCAAGGGATGGTTAGCAGGGGGCCAGATACCTGGGATAGAAAAAGTACTTGGGGCCGGGTGGTGGTGGCTCACGCCTTTAATCCCAGCACTCGGGAGGCAGAGGCAGGCGGATCTCTGTGAGTTTGAGGCCGGGCTGGACCGGCAGCCTCCAAAACAATACAGAGAAACCCGGTCTTGTTAAAAAAAAAAAAAAAAGATAAGAAAAAGTACTTGGGGACATGGCACCCCCTTCCCTTCTGGGGTGATCAATGGTGCTATTGAAGTATGATGAAAGTTTGGACTGCATTGGTGAGGGGTGAGTTGACTGAGCTGCACCCCGAGCCAACAGCCCCTCCCCTAACTGATTCTCAGGATAAATAGAAGCAGGGTAGGGTTAGACAAGAGAGCAGGCGATGCGGCCTCGGGGAGCAGAGGCTGTGGGCAGAAGTTTTGAAAGATCACTGTTTGCTGCAGAGGAAGTTGATGTCTCCCCTGCACCCACTGGGTCTCCTGAGCGGGTCATCTTCACACAGCCCCAGCTCTAGCCCAACCCCTAGTCACAGTTCCAGAAGGACCTGCTCATGTCCTGGTCTCTTGGGAGATAGTCCTGGGTATCTGGTGGTGCAGAGGATGAGAAGGGCAGTGTTAGGTGGGACAGTGTCTGCTTCTCCTTCCAGCCAGTTGACGCAGACCCCGCAGGATTGCTGTAGTTCACACCCTGGCTGTCAGCAGCATTGTGTCCCAGATCCCCAGCTCAGGATGGCTCAGGGCTTAAACAGGGAAGGATCTGCAGGGCTCTTGGTGCACTGGCTGGTGTGCAGTTGGGTTCAGATGTTCCAGTTAGAGCTGTGGCTTGGTACATTGTAGAGAGAAAAAAGAGGAAGGGACTTCTTTCCTTATTCCCCATGTCCCCTGCCTGGCCTGAATCTCTCCCTGACGGTGGCTCAGGATGCCAAGGCATGCCCTGGTGGAGACCCCAGGAGGCACATCCGGATGTGGTCACGTGGCATGCACATCCAGATGTGATGAGGTGCCGTGTAGGCCTGGTGATACTTCTTGATGCTTTTCAGGATCTCCTACTGCACCGCGGACAAGATGCACGACAAGGTGTTCGCGTACATCGCTCAGAACCAGCACAGCGAGAGTCTGGAGTGTCATGCCTTCCTCTGCACCAAGCGGAAAGTGGTCAGTGGGAGGGCCAGGCCCAGAGGGGACAGTAACAGGGAGGTAAAGACAGGAGAAAATCCCCACAAATGGATTGCAAGCAGCTGTGAGAGACCAGAGGGCACTGCGAGGGCTGGAGTCAGGCGGAGACTGACTGGACTGCTGTGGCCAGTGACCGGCTATACCCCCTGGAAGTACCTGGGCATATTTCTCTCAGTAACGTGATTGGTTGGGTTTGAGGCTGTGACACTGTTGTCATTAGTACAGTCTGGGGTACAGGCATTGTAGGGATTAGCTTGTGAAGATGGGAAACCAGAGGGACCCGTGCAAGGTAAAAGTGATTTCTCTGGATTAGGCTTTCTGCAGTTGGGCAGAGGCAGATGGCTCCTTTGCAACCCCCTCTGGGCCCATTTTGGAGCTGGGCTGCAAAGCGTTTTCTTTTAGTCTCCAGGGCAGTTCATAAGGTGGAAATGGTTAAGGTCTGTGTTGCCCTTCTTTAAGCCTTTTAGTTACAACAAGACACACCCCAGAAGCCAGTAATCTTGCTCATGATGGCACAGCCAGCCAGATGCACAATGAGGCTCTGCACCCGCAACCCAAGAGGCTGAGAGCTTCCTGTCCCTGCCCCTTGGCCACATCTGATGGGGCTGAGTGATGGAGGCACCTTGGTGGTCTCCAGCCTGTGCTGTGACTGGGTAGAAGCTGGAGCTGTTCTGAGGTGGTTGTTGACACCTTGGTTTCTGGGGCCTTTGAGGGTTGAGTGTCAGCTGGCTCAGCGTCTGCATCTGCCGACAGCTCAGAGCCTGATTCCCAGGCCCCTGGTTCTCAGAGATGAGACCTTTTCCTTCTCCATCAAAGGACACACGGGAACTCCACAGTCTCTGGTGCTTCCAGGACTGCAGGAACAAATGACAACAAACTTAGTGACTCAAAACAGCACAGAATCATCCTCCTCAGTCCGGGGAAGAGGCAGCTGGAATAGGCCAGCGGGCTTGCATTGCAGCCCTGGAGAGAGCCATGCGCTCCCTTTCCTTCCTTCTAGCGTGTTTTCACAGTCTACCTACAGCCCTTGCCTCAGGGACCCGTCCTCCATTTTTATTTTCAGAGGCACCTGTGTGTCATCTTCCCATAGTGTGTCTGTCTTAGTCACTGAAGAGACACCGTGACCAAGGCAACCCTTGGAGGAGGAAGCAGTAACCGGGAATGGCTTATGGTTCAGAAGTGTAGTCCATTATCATGGCGGGGAGCGTGGCAGCGTGCAGGCAGACACGGGAGCAGTGGCTGAGAGCTGCATCCTGATCCAAAAGCAGACAGAGCAGCAACCTTAGAGCCCACGCCAGTGACAGACTTTCTCCAAGGCCCCACCTCAGAGTCCTCCCAATCCTCAAATAGTGCTGCTCCCTGGTGACTAAGCATTCAGACTTATGGGCCTAGGGGGCCACTCTTAATTCAAACCGCCAGTGTCCATTCTTGCACTACAGCTTCTCTGACTCTCCCTCTCAGGTCCCTGTGGTGATAATGGCCACTGGATACCCCAGGTTTATCTCTCCATCTCAACGCCCTTACCCTAATCTTACCCGGGAGGCTCGGTTGCTGTGCACAGGACATTTGGGAGAAGGGGAGCAGCTGGTGTGCTGTGTAACTGTGGGTGAGCCCTGCCCGTCTCTGGTCTGCTTACCTATCAGCAGCTTGAGGAGGTCACCTCGTTGACCCCATGATCATCCCGAAGGCCCCGTTACTTTTACATGCCTATCTCCTTGCAGACTGTTTCCAGTCATCCCTCTGGGGTCCTACAGGGCTCTGAGCAGTGGAGGCCTCTGCTATAACAGCCTGGCTCCCACAGATGGTGGGAGACTTTGGTATGAATGAGGCCACATTGACTTAAAAACACAAGCTTACTGTGTTCCCCCTGTTTGCTTCTTCCTCCTCACTGACGGAACCAGGCAGGGCTGCTGGCCCCAGGTCATTACTGCAGAGTCGGCCCTGGTGGGAGGGGCATGCTCATGGGAAGCGGCTCCCTCTGGGCTGGGGTTCTGTGCAGCACAGGGAGCAGGTCCAGCCATTCAGAAGGAGGCCTGGGCCGGAGGACATAGGTGAGAGGCAGAAGCCAGCTACCCATGGCTGTGACTAGTATGGCCTCATGGATGGTGGGCAGGACTCTCTCTGGGCACCCAGCTAGCTGTGATCTTGCTTCTACCTGCTTCTATCCTTTGTCTTCTGGGGTTTCCAAGTCACTCTAGGGTGGTGTAGGTTCCTCCCGGGGCTTTAAGACCTTAGCTGGACTCTAAGGCCAATGGTGTGACGACCTTCAGGCCCGGGATTCTGTGATTATCTGAGGGAGAAGCAGGGCTGAGTTAGGGGCCTTGGCTCAGCTCCACCCTCTTTTTCTGTCAGTTGTCTCCAGTTTGTGGACAAGGCTCTGCAGAGTACAATAGGGACCTTCCTAAGTCTGTGGGAGAAGGGCCGGCTTTGACCTTGAGTCTGGGTCTTGGCTCTAGGATGGTGGTTTTTGGACCTGGAGGTTAGAGTTACATGTGGAGACTGAAGCTCTAAAGGATGAGGGCTTAGGGATCAAGTGTGCAAAGAAGCACAACTTGATGTGGTGTGCTGGGCCTGAAGACTCACTAGGTAGCCAGGCATGGTCAGCCTACAGGACCCACGGTGCACATATGGTGCTCACTGAGTCTCCACCTTTCCTTGCCCAAGTACAATAGATGCCCAAGGTTCCTTCTGGGGCCCCCCACAGTGCAACCCAAGGACTCCCTTTCCTGGCCTTATTTGAGCACGGTCAGATGGTCACTGCAAGGAAGTGGTTCCCTATGCTCATGTGAGAGGCCTCAGCTTAGCAAACACAGCCTCTGTGACCAGAAGTGGAGGTGGAGGAGTCTGGGCTCCCAATGTGGGCACAGGCCTGGGCACCCCGGTTCTGTCTGACAGGGGACAGCGCTATTTCTTCCATGTGGGCCTTGGTGTTCTGGAGTAATCTGTGCAGAGGTTAATATGGGAGCCAGGTATGCGTAGAACTGGTTTGGGCTGCATACTTGGCCCTCTTTGACTTACTGATAATACCTGCTTGGACAGACCAAGATAGGGACAGGGACAGCTGGACCAAGAGGAAGCTTCTGGTCATAAGAGAGCCCACTGCAGAAGTCCCAGGAGGGCTGTGCAGTGCCCTGGGGGATGCAGGTGCTCCTATGATTCACACTGCTGGGGTCCCTGGGGAATAGGCCACCCCAGGCCTTCCCAGGCCAGACCTGCAGCGGCTGCACACTTTGCTTCACATCTCGGGTTATGTGTTCATTGTGACTCACTGTGCAGGACACCAAGGCAGAGGCGCAGGGATATGCGCAAATGAACCAGACTTCTGTGAGCAGCACGAACCCGTCCTCAGGTTCCTGCAGGCAGATGCACTGGTGTTTCCATGGCCTTGCCACATGGGTGACCAGCCCTTGTTTCAGGGTATGGCGATCTGACTTGGCTGGTAATTAGCCCATATTTTTAGTTCATGGGTAATTCTCAATGGTAACTGGGTCTATTAAACTTGATTCAGACGTGACAGCTTAAATTGTAAACAGCTGTGAAGACTTTCGCACTTAATTACCATATTTAAGTTTTACCATAAAGCATCCTCACTTCCATCAAAAATGTAAATGATGGAGATATTAAAATGAGATTTTTATACTTCGTGAAGTTTAATTGGGGAAGATCAGTCAGTTTGGAGATTTTGAAAATTTTTTTAAAGAATTTTGAAGGTGGTGGCCCCAAATTTATTTCTCAATTAAATTGAGTTGTCTGGTGGAGGCTGCTTAAGCCTGAACTTGCTCTGCCATTGAGTGTGGTGCCCTTCTCTGGGGCTTGCTCCCCGAGCTCTGGGCAGGTTACCCCACGATTGGGGCTAACAGGAGATTGTAACAGATCTGTGTGACAACTGGGAGTTAAGACGCCATCACAGCCATCTGAGGGCTCTGCCTGAGCTCTGAGCTGTGGCACTGCTCTTGCTTGAAAGGAAGCATTCACAGGGGATATAAGCATGTGAGCTAGGGACACTCTCATCTGCAGATTCCAGAGGGAGGTGAGGGGAGCCATAGAGCCCCGTGCTGGGGACAGGAAGAAGGTGGTGGCATGTGACTAGGACTTGAAGGGGGAGCCAAGGCACCTGCTGGCCAGTGCTAGATGACTTTTCTTCCTTACCATAACCAATGTCTTGATTGTGCCGCCTCCTACTTGGCTGGGATGTCAGTTATCAGCTGCTGGGACCCTCGATGCCCTGTAGTCCTGAACAGTGTGGCCTCCATCTCTCTGGCTGTAGTTCACTCAGGCATGGCTAGGTCCTCCCACTCCTGGTTTCTGTTGTCTCAAGGGCTCTGAGTGTAAGGAATCCTCAGATCACCCAGGAGAATTCCCAGAAGAAGTCCTCAGAGTTGGTTTAGGTGTGCATGGCAGGAAGGAAAAAGTAGAGGTGAATGGCCATTGGGGAGGGCCTGGACAGGAGGTGCCAGACTGGGCCCCAACTGCCTCTCTAGAGTGTGGCTTCATTATGCCCCAGGCTGCCGTAGGAAATGGTGGAGCTAGGCCCCTCCCTCCTGCCCGGGGTGGGGTGGGTGCCCCCAGCCCTCCAGTTCATACCTGCTTTTGCTGGCTGACACCCATCCCCACCCTCATTTCCTGTTTTTCAGGCACAAGCCGTCACCCTCACTGTAGCCCAGGCCTTCAAAGTTGCCTTTGAGTTTTGGCAAGTGTCCAAGGAAGGTGAGTCTCTTCTCGGAGGCATGTGAGTGATGTGAACAGGAACGGATACAGGCCGGAAGTCAGACCTGATCTGGTCCCCTGCCGCATCCCCTGCTGGGCTTGTGGTTTTGAACAGGTCTCTAAGCCTCAGTTTCCCCATCTGGACAAAGGCCATCTTCCCCTTCTCTGTTTGGGCTTAAGTGAACTCTGGAAGGTGTCCTACCTCCGTGGGGAGCCCTCATACTGCCCCTGAGAGCCCTCAGCTTGCCTTCTCCTCAGGGACTCATGGAGACAATGCTGTAAGGGCCTCAGCAAGTCATGCCTTTATCCCACAGAGAAAGAGAAGAGGGAGAAAGCCAACCAAGAGGGAGGAGACGTCTCAGGGACCCGCCGTGACAGCACCCCATCGTTGAAAAGCTGTGAGTCTTGGCACTGAGCCTGCCCTCCATCCATGGCTTCCCTCCTGAACTCTTGCTGTTTCCTTTCGTTCTGTTAAATCAGGAATACGTGTGCCTGTGGGTGGCTAAGGGGGGTGCTATTCTGATACACACCAATCCAGGCATGTCCCCACTAATCCAGACATGTCCCCGCATATATGCATATGTGCTGTCTGCTTCACATCCTGTTACCCAGCAGCCTAGATGGTACACTTTTGTTTGATTTTAGTTTTTTGAGACAGGGTTTCTCTATATAACAATTGGAACTTAATTTGTAGACCAGGCTGGCCTTGAACTCACAAAGATCCACCAGTCTCTGCCTCCCACTGCCTGACTACTTGGTGCACTTTCAAACATTCAATTTATGTCATAAATATGCAAATGTAAATATGTGGGCTCCAGGGTCTCCCTTTGGGAGCCACAGATTCTCTCCTGTGGGCAACTGTCTGGGGGGGGCAACCCCTGGGGGGTGTCAGAATAGGGCTCCAGGTGGTCAAGGTTCGTCCTACATCTGGACAAGGTCAGGGTCCCAGAGCTGATGAGGACTGGTGCAGTGGGAGGGTCCTGGAACGTGTCTGCGGAGGAGGCTAGAGGAGTAGATGTGTGTCCTGATGCCCCTCCTGACCCCTCATAGTGGTTGCCACTGGGAACCTGCTGGATTTGGAAGAGGTGCCTAAGGCCCCGTTGTCCACGGTCACCACTAATACCAACAACATGGACGAGACACTGAGGCCTCAAGTCTTAGGCAACAGCGGTGTCATCTGGGTGAGTAGTTCCATGGCCTGGGCGTGGTTTTGGGAGCCAGTGTTAGCCAGGTCTCTGAACAAGCCTTAAGTGGTTCCCAGACCCAGGCCCTGTCACTGTGAAAAATGGGCCTCTGGAAGGACCAGATCTAGCCCCTCAAGCCCTAGGTGGAGTAGCTGAACAATGTCCCCTCTGAGCCCAAGGTTGTGTCCCCAGCAGGCCTGGTTCCCAGCTGGGCCATCTCCTCACAGTACTCAGTCTGAAACTAGATGTCTGTGGCCTTCCCTCTCTGATCAGCAAAGGCTCCCTTGTTCTAGGCATGGCAGGTTTGTGCCTGGCACCCCTCCCTTCTCAGCTGTCTGAATGCACAGCCGGACTGCAGGCTCTCAGGGCTCATGGCCAGTGCCTGACCTCTGTGTCAGCCTTTTTACTCCCTCAGTGATGACTCCGACCTTCCATGGCATCTCCCAGAGGAACCTGAATGGCCTTTAATTTCAATTTTCATTTGGAGGTGGTTAGTTTCAAACTGCATTACAAAAATAGCACCAAGTATTCCAGTGCCCCGTAGACACTTTGTCATCAACACGTGAGAATGACCATGGGACCATGCTCCAGCATCTGGAGAATGCCAGACTGTGCCTGCCATAGCTCCCTCCTTTTTTGGGGGAGGGAGTTTGGTTTGATTTAGTTTTTTGAGACAGGGTTTTTCTGTGTGACCCTGACTGTCTTGGAACTCACTCTGTAGCCCAGGGCTGTCCTCAAACTCAGAGATCCCCCTGCCTTTCTGTGTCAGTCTTTTTACTCCGTCAGGGAGGACACTGACCTTCCACAGCATCCTCCTGCCTCGTCCTCCCAAGTATCTGTGACCCCAAGCCTGTGCCACCAGGCCAGTTTATCTCTTCACATGATGGGACTCATGTGACAACTGTCAGGTCACCTCTGTCTGTTGGGAGCAACCTGGGTATCCCTATACCTGTCCCTTGCTGGAAAGGTCCACCCTTGCCTTTGTCATGTGTCCTAAAGGCCTTAGAGGGGTTTCACATGGCACTTAGCTCCAAGGCTCTGAGTTCCTAACATCAGTTACCCTGAAATAGCACGGGACTGTGGCTGGCCTTGGGCATGAAGGAGGTACAGTCAAATGTTCTCTGTCCTTCTCTTTGGGGCTAGAAAGCTGTGGAAATCATGTCACTTACTTTACAGAAGGAAGAGCTACGTCTCAGAGGTCTGAAACATGCCTCTTCTTTTTTTTGGTGGGGAGGGGTAGGAGGTTCTGAGACATGGTTCATTTGTGTAGTCCTGGCTGTCCTAGAACTCTCTCTGTAGACCAGGCTGGCTTCAAACTCAGAGATCCACGTCCCCAGTGCTGGGATTAAAGATGTGCATCTGTATTGCTTAGCTGAGATATGCCTTTTCTTGTCCTGGGCCCCAACTTTGGGTCCCTGTGTATAAGGCCTGCCTATGCTAGTTTCCCTAGGCACCCCCTTCCAACACACATACAGGTCCTGGGTCCCTGTAGCTCCCTTGGGGAACATGGCTTCACCCAGAGTTCTCACTTCTTGCTTTCTTTCTAAGGAGTTGGACGATGGCCTGGATGAAGCCTTTTCAAGGTAAGACTTTGAGGGCCTGTGCTGGGGATGGGATGTGGGCCTTGGGCTGGACCTGGCTACTCTTTACACTTTGGCCTTTGTCCTGACTGAGAACTTACTCTAGCTGTCTACACAATAATTCTTGAGTCCCCCAGGGACAGGGAGCTTGCTGTTATGAGTGCGACCTTTGCAGGGTGTCTTGTGCGAGAATGCTTTTACGGCTCTGTAGAATGCTGGCTCAGCTTGTCATTTCCAACATGTCATGAAGAAGGCTGCAGGCAGGACTGGGCCACTGGGGTCCCAATACTGAGTCTGGGCCCTGAGGCCCCTCCTTCATTCCCTTTGGATGTGCAGCCCCTTCAGAGGCGCCTGCCTCGGGGCTCCGCTTAGGGTTTGCAGCTTTGCCTTGACCTTCCCCTCCATGCCAGGGACTGACCAGCAGGCCAGGCCCTTCTCAAGGAAGCAGCCCTTCCCCCATCTTCTCTGCTTCAGTCGCCAGTGTCACCCACATTTGAAAACAGCTTCATCCTCTTTTCCAGAATGTTCAGTTGTCATGGGTCCTTACTAACAATCTCAAACGAATCCCTATATAATATAATCCCTGGCCCTGACCAGCCCCGTGTCCGCTGACCTGACCATGAACACCCTTGTATCCATCAACTCACAGTGGGGGCCCTGGGGACCCTGCATGGACTCAGTGCTGTCAGAGGCCTCCCTCCAGGCACACACACCCTAGGATTCCCCCCAGCCCCCTGTACTGACCTCTCCAGGTTCTTATGGACATTAGGCTTGTCTCCTTGTGTGTCAATTGTTGGGAAGCACATGCATACCCTGGTTACGCCAAGTTTCTTCTCGTGGCTGAACACTTCCTACCTACAGCTGGCCTCTATTAGAGTAGGGCTCATGGCCTGTCCCAGGGCTCTGACCCTCTTGGGCACCCTGTTGTCAGGGGGTGGGCTCTAGCTCCCCTGCTGAGCTTTTGAGTCTGGCCGTTTTCCCACTCATGTCCCCTCCCTCTGTCCCCATGCTGGCCAGGCTATGCCTGTTCATTAGCCCCTGCCAGCCCTTCCTCTGTTGCTTGGCTTATACAGCTTTGCCTTCCAGGCTGGCACAGTCACGGACGAACCCTCAAGTCCTGGACACTGGACTGTCAGCACAGGACATCCATTATGCACAGTGCTTATCACCCACCGACTGGGACAAGCCTGACAGCAGTGGCATCGATCAAGATGACCTCTTCAGCTTCTAAGGCCTAGGACTGACAGGACACAACTGGCCTTGACGTGTGATGGACCAGAAGGCACCTGCAGCAGAGCAGCCATCACACGGAGCCGTCAGCTGCTCTGGCAGAGCCTGTGGATGAGAGCTGTACAGTCAGGCAGGGAGGGAGGGCAGGAAGAGCCTGCAGTGTCCAGTCAGTGACTCCTGGTTTATGCTCGGAAACCAGGTTTGCATCAGGCACTCACGGCGTGTGCAGGGCAGCGCCTGGCCTCCTGGTCTCTCTCCTGGAGCCAGTGCCCCTCCTGTGGGTGTCAAGACAGTGACCAAAGCATTCCGTGTTCCTTCTCTCTGGGGCGTCCTTACTCCTCAAGCAGTGAGAGCCTATTATTTGTGCACTGGAGGGGACATGGCCTTCAGGGAAGCTGGGGTCCTCAAGTTCTGCTTCTTCGGGGCCTGGTAGCTAAGACTCTCAGAGAGGCAGCCCCTGACCAAAGACACGTAGCTCTGCACTTTATCTCACATAATGGACATGGTCCGAGGTCCTTGATGGTGCTGTGGGAGTAGAGCTTGCCTCCTGCTCTCCCTCCACAAGAGGGTCACAGTCCCTGAGGTGGCCTGTGTAGTGCTACCAGCGGCCCAGACTCCAGAATCTCACCACCACTCTGGGAATCACCTCTGCGTGGCTTTGGGGCATCCGTAGCAGACAAAGCTGCGTCTGGACTTGTGTTTTCTGTGTCCTGTGTGTCCTCACCTTCTGCCTCCCCATAATTCCTGGAATGATACCAAAGCCTAGCACTAGGTTGTGGCAGGATATTTTTCATCCATTTTACAGATAAGGAAACTGAGGCAACATGTCAGGGGATGGAGATAAGAATAGAACCCAGATCTGATACCAAAGCTGCTGTTTGTACCGCCAACCTCTCACAGCCCACGCCTCCTTTCTCTCTAGCTCTGTTGTCCTCCCAGGAACCAAAAAGCCCTTGCTATTTTCTGACCAAAATGTGTTTCGTAACAAACCATCTGGTGCCTTTCCATGGCGCGGGCCTCCATGCCCTGCGAGCTGCCACACTGCTGAAGTCTTTTGATTCCATGGGTTAAATGGAATCCTCCAGAAGCATCTCGCTGCCCCTGACACTGCAGCCCCAGTAGTCCCCCCACCCCTCCCGGTGGTCAGGCAGTCCAGTGGTGAGCTAGCTGTCCTTAGTCTCGCTGGTCCCATGGGCTCTGGCATCCTGAACCTCAGCCAAGCCACAAGCACCTTTTTTATTGCTAGGAGCCCCCAGTGGCCGGGCTTGTGTGAGCATGTCTCAGTAGTCCCAGGAAAGACACACCAGTATGACTTAGAGTTCCCAGCTCTTATTGGGTGGCTGAGTCAGACCCTTGCCTTGGGGAGGGCACCTGGAGAACCCTCCCCAGAATCAGGGTAGCTCCTTTTCCCCAACCATCTCCAGGGTCCTGAGTATGAGGGGCTGCCATGGTGTTGGGTGGTGCTGTGGTCTTGACAGCCGAGGCTGCTGTGTGAAGCTGGAAAGGTGGCTCTGAGAAAAAAACAATAAATGTTCCCATTTTTTAAACATAAGCATCACTTGGGTATTGCTGGCTACTAGGGGCAGTGTCATAGCTCCTGCCCTTTGATGATACGTGTCAGAGACTGAGGTATACCACATGCCCTTGTAGTACCAGAATAGAGGGTGATGGCAGGTTCCCTGCTGATGAGCCAGCAGGGTACCTTTCTCTGCAACTGTCACTGTATGACAAGGTCACCAGTGAGTGAGGCATCGAGACCACACCAGTGTGTCTGCGCTGACAGTGTTTCCAACCATATGTCCTGAGCCCCTGAGGCATGAGTGTGTGAGATGTGAGTGTGCAGCCCTTCCCAAGGACAGCATTGCTCCCATGACTCCAGTGACTCGGGCTTGCAGGCTTACTCTGCTGCTACTCATGTTTTGGTCCTGGGCTCAATGTTAAAGATGACATGGCCCATGCAAATTCAGGTTGTGTGACTCTGTGTGAAGGGGACAGAGATAGAGGTTGGGAGTCTAGCTATGGCCCTGGGTTAATTACCTGCTTTTTTGAGCCTTGGTTTTCCTGTCTGTAAACAGGGCACAGCAGTCTCCTGTGCCTATGTCCCTGGGTTTTGAGACTATTGACCATTATCACATTATTGGTAGTTGAGACCTCTGGTGGCTTACAGGTTATCTCAGAGCAAAAGTCATTTGAATCGAATGTGTAAAGTCCCAGTGAGACTCAAACAGCGAGTACCAATCTTAGTGCACTTCCCGTGTGCCAGCTGACTTAGAGAAGTCACGGAGAGCCCAGATGCTGTTCCATTCCTACTGCTGAGAGCACCGAGCTTTGCTGGGAAGGTAGCCCTGTCCTGAGTGTCTGGTCAGGCCACAGCCCCGTCTCGTATCCCTAGCCCTCATCCTGTCATGTAGCGACTTCCCAAGAGATGGTTATGCTCCAGCTGCGTGTGCCTTGCCCAGACTCACAATGACCATTCCAGCGAGGCTGCATTCCTCAAGTTCCATGGGCTTTTGTCTGGGGACTCCCCAGCCACTGCTCCTTCCTGTGGCTTGTGGGGGCCTGGGGCATTTATGCAATCCTCCTGTTTCAAGTGTCCAGAGGCAGAGCCTCTGATGCCAGCCGGCAAGCAGACTCTCTTAGAGGCCCAAGTGGATCAGAGCAGAGTAAAGAATTCTTTCTTCTTTTCCCCATAATTTGAAAAGACACTCGACAAGCTCACCCTTCTGTTTAAATTTGGCCAATGCCTTTAGTCTCCGGATGTCTCAAATTATGGATCCTGAGCCCAGCCGCCTGCTCTTTCATGCATAGCTTTCAGATAAAGTGGAAGAACAAAGCCACCTTTCAGATTTGATGTGACCTTCTGCTCCTCTGGGTAGACACTGTGTTGGCTCTCCAGGAGAAGCCATCACAGTTAAACCTTTTGAGAGTTTTTTTCAGCCTCTGTGCTTGGGACACAGGCTTGTGCCTGGCCTGGTTCTACCTTCCCCAGGGCTGCAGTCGGGGCCCTTGTGACTAGCCTCGGCATTGTTGGTCTGCCTTGGCACACTAGGAGGTGTGTAGGTGGCCTTAGAACTACCTAAAAAACTGAATCTTTGTTTATTCTTTGACAATTTTATACATCTAAACATCATCTTGGTCCTGTGCACCCTGTCCAACCCTCCAATCCCCACCTCAAACTCCAGCACTTTCTTTCCCCCCTTTTCCTTTGTTTGTAGCCTGCTGAGTCCAGTTAGTCCTACATGTTGAAGTGGTCTTGGCTTGCTCTTGTGTAGGTAGCCACAGATGCAGTGAGTTCCTTAATGTGCTGGCCATGTCCTGTCTAAAAGAGTTTTCACAGTATCTTCCTCTCCCCCTAGCGCTTAGCATCCTTGGTACTCCCTTTTCCACGGTGTACCTTGGGGAGGGCTGTGAGGAAGGTTGATGTAGATGCCCCACATAGGGCTGGGCACTCACCAGATACTGCCTAAGCACTTTGACCCATTGAATTTCACTGTATTAACTGCTGACCACTGCAGAGAAGCTACCTTGGCCAAGGTTAAGGGCAGCACTGACCTACAGGTATAAACATAAGTGTTGAGGAGATAGTGTAGCACCGTGTTCTTTAGCAAAACAATAAATTATTCCCTGGGACTGTGATTGCCCTCGCCATGTGCTTTTGACCAGGCTTGCGATACCAGGCCCGATTTCTCCCTGTAGAGCAGATCTCAGATCTAAAAGTGATTGGTTATCCTGTAACCTTTGTGCCACTATTGCATTAGGGGGCACATTGCGCATGGTAGATCAGTATCGTAGCATGCAGGGTGGATTGCTGGGTAACATTACTGGTCTGTCTGTCTGTCTGTCTGTCTGTCCCTGGTGGCCTGCATGGCTCCTTCCAGCACTGAACGCTAGTCAACAAAGAGGAAGCTTTTGGGTCGTTTAGTGTTGTTGTTGTTTTTTTTTTCTTTTGGTTTTTACGAGACAGGGTTTCTCTGTATTGTTTTGGAGGCTATCAGTCCAGCCCGGCCTCGAACTCACAGAGATCCGCCTGCCTCTGCCTCCCGAGTGCTGGGATTAAAGGCGTGCGCCTCCACCGCCTGGCTTAGTTTGGTTTCTGTGCCATGCAACCAAAGTGTGTACTAGGCAATAGAATCTTCACCATCTAGTTTTTGGTGACCTCTGGGGCCTCCCTGACCATCAAATTGTAGGGAGAAATCCCGTATGCCCTCACTTCTTAGATGCAGTATCTGAGGGACAGGAAAGATAACAAGCTGACTTGAGCCCCACATTTAGGAAGAGGTTAAGCCTGGGATTTGAACCCCAGGCTATCTAAGTCTAAAACTTACTTCTGCCACTCTGCAGACCGGCAGCACCAGCAGTGGGCAACGTAAACTCCTCTGGGAGCTGCTTCTGGGGCCCTGACTCCACAGGCAGCGGTGGCCGGTGCCAACTGCGTAGATCTCGTGCCTCTTCCCAGCTGGCTGTCCCCCCCCCATGCTGCTGGTCTGGTCATGTCCAGCGTGGGACTCTGCAGAACCATACGCGCATCACATCAGGCCTCATCTTTCCTGGGTGACGTTGTCCAGTCTGCCAGCACAAGGTGCCTTACCACAGGAAGGACAGTGAATGCCGGCGTGAGGGCTGGAGGCAAGGGAACCCTTTGCAGTGCACACACAGCTTGAGCTGCTCTAGAGACTGCAGGCGTGTCAGCCAGCGTGAGGTGACGGCTCTGAGGACTATACAGGTTACTGCAGGCCTGGGGCTCAGATCCCATGTGTCCTGGAGTGGCCCTGCCTCTGCAGGTCACTGGGAACACTCAATGAACATGACCTTCCTGCTCAGAAGGACAGCCTTGACCAAATGCCAGCACGGTACTGCTGGGGCAGCTGGGAGCTTCCAGCCAGGACAGGTGTGGGCCGGGACACAAGGCCATGCTGCTAGGCAACAGATCTGCAGATCACCAGCCTGGCATTGTCTCTGGGTGATTAGAGGCCTCTGCTCTTGACCCTTCATAGTCCCAGGGGCCGGGCATGCTCCCCAGAAGTCCCCTGTCGTGCATACTTGCCTACACCAGCTCGACATTAGACAACTGGGTTGTGGGGTGTTCTAGGGGATTCCAGGTGGGCTGCTGAGTGAAGGGACCTCAGAAGGAGTATAAAAGTTGGGGATACCCTCAATGACTTGGTAACTCTGATGTTGGGGGCCCTGTCTGAGTCACTCCATGGCCAGGTGCTGCCTCTGTGTAGCTATGTCTGAACCATGGCAGAAAGAGCAGACCCCGCCTATGGTTCCGAGCCCTCAGAGATCTGGCAGCCCCAGGTCAGTGGCAAAAGAGGGGTTCTAGTGTCACATACTCCCCAGTAGGCACTGAGTCTCTTCGCTCCCAGCTCAGTAGCCATGCAATCCTTCCTGGGCTGTGTTGCTGAAACTGTGTGACTAACTCTGTGTCCTGACCAAGGATCTTGCTTTTCAACATGTTTTCAAATAAAGGTTCTCATGTCAGTGTGTGGTGTGTATGCAGGCACAGGTGTGCCATCCACATGTGGAGTAGTCTGGGGACAGCTTTTTTTTTTTTTTTTTTTTTTTTTTTTGGTTTTTCGAGACAGGATTTCTCTGTATTGCTTTGGAGGCTGTCCTGGAACTAGCTCTGTAGACCAGGCTGGCCTCGAATTCACAGAGATTTGCCTGTTTCTGCCTCCCGAGTGCTGGGATTAAAGGCGTGCGCCACCAACGCCCGGCCTGGGGGACAGCTTCATAGTGTATTCTCTGTCCACCTGTATGTGGGCTCCAGGGATTGAGGTCATGCCACTGGACTTCATGAGAAGCACTTTTATCTGTGGCGCCATTTTGCTGCCCATTCTAGACTCTTTTGCCAGGAGAGCCCTTTTGTTTATAGTTGGGGGACATCCTCAGTGGACATAGGACTTCCCCGACAGTTGAGAGACATGCCAAGGTGTGACTATTTAGAGGTCCCCTGAGCTCTTAGTGGAGGGGCCACTTCACTGAAGGAAGTGAGTCGGGTAAGTTGAGGGAGGCCTGGGGAGGAAGTGGGGGATGTGGAGGTGGGGAAGCTCCAGGTGTAAGAACATCAGCTTGAAGCCCATTACTATTTGCAGCTCAAACTGCCAGTCCAGGGCTCCCGAATGACAGAATGACAGTGAACTGTGGCCACACACAGGGTGAGTGCAGTGATTTGAACCCCAGGTCTGTCCCTAGGTCACCGCACACATGACTCAAAAAGCCTTTCTCTGTTTCCTCATCTGAGAGGTTTTGTTTGCTTGTTTGTTTTGTTTTTTTGAGACAGGGTTTCTCTGTATTGCTTTGGAGGCTGTCCTGGAACTCGCTCTGTAGACCAGGCTGGCCTCGAACTCACAGAGATCCCCTTGTCTCTGCCTCCCGAGTGCTGGATTAAAGGTGTGTGCCACCAACACCCTGCGTTTGCTTATTTTATTTTTTTGCTTTGTTTTGTTTTTTTATGTGCATTGGTGTTTTGTCATGGGTGTGTCTGGTCCCCTGGAACTGGAGTTACAGACAGTTGTAAGATGCTATGTGGGTGCTGAGAATTGAACCTGGGTCCTCTGGAAGAGCAGTCACTGAGTCATTTCTCCAGCCCCCCTCTTTCCTCACTTGGAGGATAGGGGGTTGGTAGTCTGGTGCAAGGATTTGTGAGGAGCCACAAAATGGGCTCCTGAGTTAGTCTCTGGGTTGTGCCAGAACACCCTGTTTTGTGCCTGTCACCGTTGGCTGCTTCGTAGGTGGCACAGGACAATGGGGGAGACCAGGGTAAGAATAACTCAAAATATCAGTTTGAGGTCAGTCATGTCCTGTGACTTACACTGGATGCCATCCAGATATGCATTCTGCCCACCCCTTCTCCAAAGTTGTGCCCGCAGGGAAAACGAGTTGGTTGTCTGGCCCAGAAGACATTCCTCTCTGGGTGCTTCAGGTGGGAGACGCATAAAGAGGGTTTGCTGGGAAGTCACGGGAAGGTGGGGGCAGTGCTCCCTCAGGTTCAGACTGACAGGTTGGAGCAGGGTACTGCTGCCCGCCTGGTCTTCACACTGCAGAGTTGCATAGCCGTTTAAAGCAAGGAATGACAGGAAAATGTATGCAGGTGTCCAGCCCCTGAGATACAGGGGGCCACTTCAGGAAGGAGGGCAGGGACCAGGCAGCAGTGAGACACCTCCCTGGGAGTCTTGCTAAGTACTGACATTCATTCTCCACCACTCCTCGGGATGGTCCAGAAGCCCAGAGTCAGAGGTGAAATGCTCTAACACTGGGATGCAGCACACCAGCTAGGCCTGCCCTTGGCAGTCTCTGAGGTAGGCTGGGGTCAGGGCTGTCCACCCAGCACACCATGATGGAGCACCTGCCCTGTGCCTGCTGTTTTAGGTGCCTGGGGCATGGTGGCAAACCTGGTGACAATAGCCCCTATCCACAGAGACTGAGAGTCTATGAGAGAGTGGGGTTATAGACCCTGCTTGCAGATGTGTGTGGTATCACTACTGAAGGCAGCAGGGAAGGGGCCAAGACTCCACAGAGGAGAGATGCTAACAAGGGGCGAGGTGGGGGTGGGGAGGGACAGAAACAGATTCCAGAGAGGGCATTTGTGTAGGTGTGGGGCAGAGTGAATGGGGAACATAGAGGAGATGCCCTGGACGTGGAGGCAGAGCGGGCCCACAGGGTCAGGGCCACTTCAGACCTGTCCTTGGACCACTCTAGGCAAGGGTGTGATGCTGGAAGCTGCTGGTGGCCGTCTGGGTGCACAGACAGCAGGGGCCTCTGTCCAGGGCCAGGAGGAAGGAGCTTTGGGCTTGCAAGTAAGCAGACAGAAGGTGACAAGAGTCACAGTTTCTCCCATTTTCCAGCTCTTCAGTCCAGAAAAAGTGAGGCACATGACCATGTGTTGATGGTGGTCCCCAGTCTGAGTCTTGGTGTGCCTGGGGTCTGAGTGAGGTCTAGGTGTGCCCTGTGTCACATGGAGACCGATGTTCCTCAGTCCTCACTGCTGGCGAGGCTGTGATGTGGGAGTCTTACAGGACACTTTCTTGTGCCTGGCTCTGTGTGCCAGCCATGTGGACCTGAATGGGGCGCATGTCTATGAGCTGGGGCACAGATAGCATGTATATCCATGTCTGTGGGCACCTGCTTGTGTAGACAGAATCAGGGATGTCTTTCCGTGCTATGCATTCCTCAGAGCTGTTGTGTTTTCTGTCTTGCCTGTTTTATTCTCTTGAGACAGAGTCTCACCATGTAGCCTTGGCTGATCTGGAACTCACAGACAACTGTCTGCTTCCTGGTTGCTGGTAGAGGCATGCACCACTGTGCCAACTGCAGCCGTCATGTCTTCTCTGGGCTGTCATAGGCAGCTCCTGGGACGACCTGAGGGTTGACTCCCTGGGAGTCTGACAGCTGAGCAGGGAGGCCCAGGTGCAAAGTCTTAAATCCAGAGGCTGCCACCCCCCCCACCCCAGGTTCCCATGTTGGAGCAGGACCCTCATTCCCCAGTTGGGGAAAACTGAAATGTTTGGGCTCTGCCAATCCTGAGTGATGAGACTTCTGAGCTTGATGGTGCACAGGAAGGTCAGGACTTGAGCAAAACCAGCTGAGGCAAAACCAGGTAGGAGCCAAAGGGTTCTGGGTTCATATCCTATTCCTGTTTCTGATTGTTTCTACTGTAGAATGGAAACCCACCTCATAGTTAAGTGTAGAGAAGAATCACCCAGCCTTCAGGCCCGTCCTCTGAAGTGGGTACTGTTTCCATCCATCTCACAGAAGCCAGGGCCCAGAGAGGTAAAGACCTGAGTCCCTCAGTGGACAGGCCAGGCAGCCTGAGATGCTGTGAGCTCCTCAGTGGACAGGCCAGGCAGCCTGAGATGCTGTGAGTCCCTCAGTGGACAGGGCAGGCAGCCTCAGATGCTGCATCTCAGACCTGATGTTGGTTGATAGGGGCTTTAGATCAAGGGCAGCTGCCGTCAGAGCTCCCAGAGATGAAGTGACTTTCTGGGATCACACAGGCAGGAAGGGGTTAGTCCCAGAGGAACGCTGGGTGTAACAGTACATCACGTTCTCTCTGCCGTGGTGTCTCTATCACTCCCATTAACCTGCCGTTAAAAACTGAGAAGGTGTCCAGATTGGGAGGGACACAGAAAGGCCAGCCCAGGCAGGGAGACAGACAGTTCCTCTTCAGGTGTTTGCATGCTTAGCAGAGCCTGACTCCGGGCCAGGAGTCTTGGGATGCCTGGTGTGGTATGGAGAAGGCTACATGGTACCCTCAGACACAGGTGTCAGGGGCTTGAGTGGGGACCATGTGGGACAGGCCAGTGTTCCTCATCTGTAGGAGCTGGGAGACTTTGCCTATAGCAGAGAATAGAAGGGAGGGGCTGGATGCGAGGAGGCTTCAGCTGGGCCTCCTGTCCAGCCATGACGTCCTTGTGAGGGCGGTGGTCAGCCCCAGGCCTGGAGTCACCAGCGTCAGGGACCCTCACCCTGCGCGGCCGTTGCCTGAGATGAGGGCAGAGCACGTCCTGAGTGCCGCTTTATCGCTATAAGTTTGTCGATTCAGCTCATTACACTTAATTAGAATTATTTAATTAGAATCTTAATAAAAGAGTAAAACAGGAAGGAGGCTGGGAGCGGAGGTGAGGAGGTCCATGCCGAGCCTGTGAAGTAGACGCAGCTGGGGAAGTCTGCTCTGGAGAGGCTGCAAGGGTCTGCTTGGAGGATTGCACAGAGCCATCTGGAGCAGGTGGGGCCACCGAGGCACAGGAGCCGGACCGTGGGTGGGGAGGCCCGGGACTGGGCATCATCTATTCTATACCAGGTCCCAAGGCCGCTGCCTAGAGCAGTGGGCATTTGGTGTGGGGCCTGTTTCCTGTCATCCAGGGACACCGAGTTCACAGACTAGAAGACGTGGTTACAGAGAGAACAGGCTAGAAGACAGATGTTCACACAGATGGTGTGGGAGACAGCGTCACTGCCACCCAGAGGTGAGGTACCTGAACCGGCTGGAGTCCGCATAACTACACAGAGACCTGAATGCTGAGTTGTAGGTAGAAAAGAGGAGAGGGACCGCGGGAGGTGGGGGTGGGGTGACAGGCAATGAAGCATCATCACCTCAGCTTTATCACCTCAAACAGGGAGGAGGGGCAGAACACAGCAGCGGCAAAGCTCAGACTCGGGGCCAGGCGGCTTACGCCCGGGCTCCAGAGCAGGGTGGCTGTGGAAAGCTACCTCCTTTTCCTCACCTATGGGTGAGGGTGACACTGGAAACCGCCTCACAAGGCTCCTTCATGGAGGAGCTGAGCTAATATCTGCATAGCACATGGGGCGGGACAGGGTGTGGTGGCCAGGGCCAGCTGCATGGGCGGACACCCATGTGGAGATGTCCCTTTAAGTGGTCAGTTAGGCGATGCTGAAGCTCGCACATACCAGGGGAAGCTTCAGATGTGGGTGAGTCACCCAAGCAGGTGTCAACAGCCTTGTTGCTGTCTGTCCCCTCT